TCGAGTCCGAGCGCGACGACGTCGCCGCTCTGCAAAATCTCCCCCCCGCCGGGCGGGGCCCGCAGGGGGTGGCCGTTGATGAAGGTGGCGTGGGGGGCCGGGGGTGGAGGGCGAAGGCGCCGCCGGGCTGGGCCTCCAGGACGCAGTGGGGGGCCCCGATCACCGGCGCAGCCCCCCCAGGGCCCTCCACGTAGTCCGACGCCGAAAGCACAACCCGCTGAGGGGGGGGAAGGCGCCCCGGCCGAGGCCCCCCGGCCTCCGCGAACGCCCGCGTCGCGTCGAGCTCGGAGGCGTCGTCCTCCTCCTCCTCGTCGTCCTCGGCGGCCGCGGCGAAGTCGCCGAGGTGGATCGCGCCGGCGATGAGGTGGGCCACCACCCACCCGCCGACGCCGTCCAGGTTGAGCAAATAGGGGTCGTTGCGGTTGATGCGGACGGTGGACTGGGCCTTGTAGGCCTCCAGCAGCGCCGCCACCTCCTGCTCGCGCTCGGCGTGGGTGGCGGTCAGCTGGCGCATGATGTCCTCCATCTTCCCCAGCTCGGACTGGAGGAGGTCGACGTCCTGCGACTCCTGCTCGGGGTAGGAGTTGTCCGAGGAGAAGCTGCGGTAGCCGGCGAGGGCCTCGCTGGCGGCCTCTTTCGTCGCGGAGCGGGAGCGCGAGCGGCGCTCGGGGTCGTCCTTCGCGGCCAACACCGGCGGCGGCGACGGCGCGCGGTGCGGGGGGGGGTCCTCCCCGGCGGCATCCGGGCCGGGAATCGCCTCCAACTCCCCCTTTGGAAGGGGAGGAGGAGGCGCGCGTTGAGGGAGGGCGAAGTGGGTCAAATCGCGCTCCTGGAGGATGCGAATCTTCTCCCGCAGCCGGGTGACCTCGTCCTCGAGCTCGCGGATGCGCTTGTCCGAGGCGGTCTCGTTGACGAAGGCGCGGGTCAGGATGGACTTCGCGCGGTCGGCGTAGCGCAGCGTGCTCAGCGTCTCGTCGTAGTTCGCGGTCGCCGGGCTAACGGTCGACAACATGAAGGTTTTGCTATTTCCCCCGATCGACTCGCGCAGGAGGAAAGTCAAGGTCGAGTCGCGGTACGGGACGTGTTTGTTCTGGCCCTTCCGGTTGTTCTCCGCCAAGGTGCTGATCACCAGGCCGAGGGTGGAGAGGGATTTGTTGATCTGGGCGCCTTCCTTGAGGGTCTCGCCCTCCGCGCCGGTCGACTTGGCGCGCTCGCTGCCGGCCAGGTCGACCAGGTTGATCCGCGCGCAGAGCTCCGTCGTTGTGTTGGCGCCGCTTTTGGTCGTGCCTTTTCGCATTTGGATGAGCTGCAGGGCGAAGATCGCGTGGGAGCGGCTCGAGACGTCGTTCATCCCCGTCGCCGCCGTGTGCCGGTTCAGGTTCCCGGCCCGCATCAGCTCGAGGATCTGCCCGGTGTGAATCACCGGGATCTCCTTCAGCCCCTCCACGTAGACCCCGAGGGAGGGGTGCTGGCGGACCTTCAGATTGGTCGAGGCCCCGTTGGTGCTCAGCAGGCATCGAACTTTCTCCCGGTATATCTCAAGGTAGCTCACGTAGACCAAGATATCCAGCTTCGGCGGCATGTTCTCGCTCGAATGGGTCGCGACGAGGTCCGACTCCGCGCCGGACGCCTTCATCGCCGCGATCTCCTCCCGGACGCGCTGGATCTCGAGCTCGTTGGCGCGTTTTCGCGCCTCGATCTGCTTAAAAAGGTCCTCGCAGAGGCGCGGGATCAGGCCCGGGGCCGAATCCAGCTGCCGGCCGCCCTCCGGGCCCATCATACAATAACTCTTCCCGCTCCCCGTCTGGCCGTAGGCGAAGACGCAGGTGTTGAAGCCCTTGAAGCTGGACTCCAACATCGGGAGGCCGATGTCGGTGTAGAGCGTCTCCTGCTCCACCTCCGGCGCGTAGGCGTGGTCGAAGGCGTAAGG